TGGTCCTTTTCAGGAGAGCCGTCTCAATCTGGGGGGCGCGGCCTCCGACAGCGTAGCTCCAGACGCCGGCGGAGGTGAGGAGGAGGAGGGAGCGGTAGGAGAGCGACCCCTCCCGCGCCAGCTGCACCACGTACCTATGCGAGGTGGTCCGAGAGGAGGCTCTGCAGACGCGGGTCTCCGCCCCGCTTGAGGGCGGCGAGAGGCGGCGGCGCACTCGTCTGACTCGTGCTGACCGCGCACGCTCACGAAACCGCCCGCCGCCCGCGACTGCAGCAGCACCCACCGGCACGGCGCGGCGGAGCGAGGGCTCGCCTCCGTGGGCGCGTCGCCGGCGCCGCCTCCGGACCACAGCTCGTCCTCGGCGTTTGCGCGGCTGGTGGGACTGAAGCTGCGCGCCTCGGTGAGCGCGGCGAGCAGGGCCGGGCCGACGCTCCGCACGACGAAGCGCGAGGTGGGCTCCGTCGGAGAGAAGGTGGTTGCCGCCAGCCAGCCGTCGGGCGCCACGGTGACGTAGCGCCCGCTCGACGCGCTCTGGATGACAACCTCGGGAGGTAGCGGCGACGACTCGCGCAGCGGGAGGAGCAGCCGCAGCAATACCGTCAGCGCGAGGCTGAGGAGAGGGCCGACGACCGAGCGGAGACGCAGCGCGACAGCCATCGCACAGAACAAATTTTGCGCCCTCGCACGGGAGCCGCCTAAGCGACTCCTCTCGAGGTTCTCGAGGTGGATATCCTTTGGCCGCGTTGGGTAGCGAGGATTGGTGTAACCCGAGCCACGGAGGCGTGTTTTCTGACGGCCGACCGTCAGTGCACGGAGTTGCCCCTTCTCCGACTGCCCCGGCTAGTTCACGGGTTTCGCGGGAGTGACCCCATGCGTCAAACCCGAGACCTAGCGCGGGTGGGTTGGAGGGGGCTCGCCCCGTTCCTCCCCATCGGGCCGCATGTGCGGCCACGCCTCGCAGATTCGTTTCTCGCGCCTGGGTCAGGCGCGCGGGGCATCCCCCGGGTCGCTCGACCAGCGATCCGAAGAGTGGCCGCTATGCGAAGGAAAGAGCGGGGCCCACGGGGTACGCCTCCGTCCGGCCCCCTCCGAGGGGGGAAGGGAATTGTGGGGTCCCCACGGGCGCCTCAGTTCGGCCCTCCCGAGGGGGGGGAGGGGAGCAAGGGGGTGGAGTACCGCCCCACTGGGGCACCCATCCCAGGCGTTCACGAATCGTACTTGTTCTCGGTCTTTCACATGGACCCCGCGGGCTCGGGGTTGATTGTGGGCAACGACGAATGGGCCGACTCCCTCTCAACCGAGATCTATGCCGATGCTTGCTCCTGAGACTGGCATATCTCGAGCGCGCCTGGACTGCAGCCCGGAAGTCACAGGAGGCGCAGCAAACAAGGGGCGCAGCGAAAGAAGGTGCAAAAACAAACACTCTCAGACGACTCGGGCAACGCGAACGCCAGCGGGCGACGCGCTTGCGGCGTGTGGGTGGGTGGTGCAGGTGCTCGAGTGCAAGGTGGGGCCTTGAGGGGTGGGGGCGCGTAGTCCGTAGAGAGATCTCCGTCGGGGTCTGCTCAATACATACAATAGAGTAACTCAACTCTTGTATAAGGTCGCGACGCGTGCGGGTAGGGAGGTGACCATCTAGCATCTTGCCTGTGTGCTGTGTGAAACGCTCGACCTCGAGTGTCGAGAGAGCCGACGCGCGCGCGAGAGGAGACGTTGCGGCTTAGGGATAAAAAGTTGCGCTGCTTGCTCGTCGATGAGGCTATAGCGTCATCTAGCATTCTTCCTTTTCTGTCCGAGATAGACAAGTGATCAGGGAATGCGACAATGTGCGAGAGAGGCCGAGCCGGTTGGCGCCGCCCCGCCGTCCGGCGATCTGCCAGCCTGTGGAGGCGTCGGCGCTCTCCTCAGAGGTAGTCAGGCGTGTACCGCGTGGGCGGCTTGAGCAGGGGCATGATGTGGCGCTCGAGGTAGGCGCCAGCTTGGTCGAGCAGCCTCTGCTGAGCCGGCGGCAGCGTCCCCCCGCTCCCCACGTACACCAGGAGCGCGCCGCTCGCCAGCACCCCCGCCCGCGCGATCGCAGCGCAGGAGCGGCCGATTGCGCGCCCTAGCGACTTCCGGCCACCGGCCGCGCGGTTCCAGCTGGACGGGACGCCCCTCGACGGGCGGCGTATCGAGTGCTCGAGGATGGCGGCAGCGCGCTGCGGGTTGAGGCGCTGCGCCTCCGCCTCAGAGTAGCCGAGCGCCATCAGCTCCGCCTTCATGCGCTGCGTCACCATGAATTGCATCGACGCGTCGCCGGCGCCTGCGCCGGTCGGCCGTGGCCGCGGGCTCTCGCCGAGCGCAGCAGCGGCCGGAGCCGGCAGGTCCAGCACGTCCGGGCCGTCCGCCGCGTCTGCCTCCTCGTCCAACCCCACCGTCTCGTAGCGCATCGGGCCCGGCGGCTTGGGTGCGGCCGAACCGGCGCTGAGGGCGATCAAGAAGAGCAGGGAGCACGCCATGGGAGTACGCGCGCACCGTGGATATGGCGCGCACTGGATGTGAGGAAGAAAAAAATTACAGCGGACCGTTCCTTGAAATCCCTAAATCTCGTTTATCTTTCGTGCGCGCTCTACATGTAAAGCGGATTTACAAAAGAAAAGAAATGCTTACAACACGTGGGAAACGCAAGGACCTGGTCTTCATGGCCGAGACGCAGCCGTCGTCGTGGCGCGAGCGCGCGCTTGCTGTGTGCATGGCGGCACACGACCGGCTGGGCGCCTCATGCCCGCAAGCGGTTCGCTCCGTGGCGTCGTCACCAGATCTGGTCTGCGCCATCATGTGGCACGTCTTCCCGTATGGCGCACCGCTCGTGGTCAAGGTGCAGTACGTCTGTCACTCTCTCAACATTGAACTGGACCAAACCCTCGTCGAGGCCGTGGCGCACGCCACCGATAAGCTGAAGCTCACCTCTGCTTTTGACGGCATGCCGGTCGAGCTGAAGGTCGACGCTTGCCTTGATATGTTGCTCGACAGAACATCGAACGCTCGACCGCCATCCACGCCGGATTTGCTGAGCTTGAAGGCCAAAGTGCAAGCAGAGATGGTCGCGAAAAGCGAGGCAGCGTGGAGTTTGATGCGGAGAGCAGACGCCACTGCTCATAGCGCTGCTGCAGTCCCTCAGGTGGTGCGCTCGGAGGGCAGCGCGGAAAGCATCCGCAGGTGGCTTCGCGAGCACTGCGTGAGATTCCCCGAGGACGCCATGCTGGCTGATCTTGAGGCCCTGGCAGCCGAGGAGAGGGCTGCGCTGGCAGAGGAGGCGGCGGCGATGGCGGAGTTCAACGCGTCAATGGCCACGCGTGGCCAGCCAACAGTTGTGAGTGCCATCTCGACGTCCGGCGCGAGCAGAACCGTGTTGGACGAAGCGCGTGCAGGCGAGGAGCTCGCGCGGCGTGAGCAGATGGAGGCGGCTCGGGAGGCCGACGCGCTCGCGGCAATGCCAGTTGCGACCGGAAGCCCAGCATCCGTCGAAGGACAAGGATTGACGGTGGTCGCCGAGGCTGTCTCCGTTGACGAGAAGCGGCCAAAGGGTGGCATCGCCGCGCTCATGAACACGATGCGCATCAGCTGACATCTACTGGACACTGACCCCTTCCCACTCCCTGCCATTCCCTGTGCCCCTGACGTCCTTCCCAAGATCCTTGCTTGCAAGGTGGGGACTCGTTCCTTCTCCGCGCCCCTACATTTTGCGTTTTCTTTCCGTGCTCGTGCCAGTTCGCGCCAGTCCCCAGTACGTGCGAGGACGCTGTGAAATTCTGTTTCTGTTGAGAAAGTCTTTTCTCGTGTGACTCTACTGTTAGTGCCAGTGTGCGCGCCAGTCCCGCCCAGAGTGATAAAACAATCTTTTTCCTTCATGCCCAAGCAGGACGGCCGTAACTAACAAACAAGCACGGCGGCCGACACGACCGACAGAGCGCGTGTTGCAGGGCTCACAAGCACAAGTTGCACAACACCGCGGCCCAAACTAGCGCACACGCCGCACAGTCGGAAAGACAGCGACCGAAAGTCAGAAGACAACGCTGGCGAGGCCCACACGAGAAGCAAAATGCGCAGCGAGGAGCCTGCTGCCAGTGACGCAGACGAGGAGGCGCTGCGAGGCTTGCGCTCCGAGCTCGCCAAGCGCGTCGCCGACCGGGAGGTCCCCAACCTCGGCCTGCTTCTTTCGCGGCGCGGCAGGATTGTGCTGGACGCCGCGGTGGGAGAGGCATCTGTAGGGCGGCCGCTCTCATCAGACTCGATCTTGCGGCTCTACTCGATGTCCAAGCCGCTGACGGCCGCCGGGGCCCTCATTCTAGTCGAGCAAGGCAAGCTGTCGCTCGAGGGCAAGGTCTCAGACTATCTGTCCTGCTGGGACGACGGCAAGGTGACCGTCAAGGCCGGCGATCATCACGTGCCCGCGGCGCGCGCCATCACGATCCGGGACCTGCTTTGCCACACGGCCGGCATCGCCGACTACGACGAAGTCGCGGCTCAGGGAGCGCACTTGCTGCCCCTGTCGAGCGATGCCGCGGGCGCGATGCCACCGACGGTGACATCACTGCACGAGTTTGCGACGCGGCTGAATGCGTTGCCCCTCGTGCATCAGCCCGGGAGCGCCTTCTCCTACTCCATGTCGATCGAGCTCCTCGGCGGTGTCCTCGAGGAGGTGAGCGGCCAGGCGCTCGGCCGCTTCCTCGAGGCGTCCCTCTTCGAGCCGCTCGGAATGCCCGACACGGGGTTCGAAATTCCCGAGCACGCCCTCGGACGGTTCACCCGATGCTACCGCGGCACGGGCCCCAACCGCTTCGAGGACGACGCCATGGTCGGCGCCTGCGACGCATCGACGCCGTGGCTGCGCGGCAAGCCGCAGGGCCAGAGACCGAGCGGCGGAGGCGGGCTCCTCTCGACCGCTCGCGACTTTCTCCGCTTTGCAGAGTGGCTGGCGACGGACGGGCGGCTGGATGGAGTGCCGGCGCTGCTGAGCCGCGAGAGCATGGCGGCGCTGAGGTCCGACCAGCTCCGCGGCATGGGCGCCGGCGCGGGACCCTGCTTTGACCCGTTCCAGAGCTTTGGCTTGCTCGGCGGAGTGGTCTGCTCTCCGGGCGAGGGCGGGGACTACCTCCCCGCCGGTGCCGCGTCGGGGATGGGCGCGACGGGCTGGGGAGGCGTCGCGGGCACCTTCTTCGCGGCCGACCCGGAGCACGGCCTCGCGCTGGTCCTCTACACGCAGGAGGTGAATTACTTCCTCTCCTCGCAATCGCTGCGGCTCTCGCTGTGCAAGCAGGCGCACGGCGTCTTCCCCGACTTGAGGCAGCGGCTGGAGGCCAGTCAGGCGCGCGAGGCATCGAAGCTCATGCTGTACACGGCGTGGGAGTGAGGCGGGGCGGGGCGGGAGGGGGGGGGGGGACGAAACCGATAACCGATAACCCCGTCCCGCCGCCCCCAGCCGTTTATATGCGCGGGGCCCGATGGCGTGGGACCTGGGACGAAGGGGTGGGACGGGCTTGTATGGGGATTGGCGGCCCGTCTTACACACCGCCCTTCCTCGCAGCGGCTCTTGCCTGTTCTGATCGAGTCTCTCACCAGCAAACACCATAAAGAAACACATGCGCGTGAGCAAACTCGGGGCACCCTCCCTCGCCCGCCCACACGCGCGCCCTCATGCCCGGCCGACCAAAAGCTGGCTCAGCCGCCTCCCGGCGCGGACACGCTTCAACGGCGGCTGCTGCGCCGCTCGCGCTGCCGAAAAAGATCCAAGCCGCGGCGAAGGACGGCAAGGCGGGCGTGGTGCAGACGTGGCTCGTCGGGGACGGGCAGGTTGATGCGACGTGCGTGCATCGCGGTGTGAGTGGCTGTACGCTCCTGGCGATCGCCGCCGCCGAAGGTCACAAGCAGCTGGTCGAGGTTCTGCTGAAGCGGGGCGCGAAGCCGGACGCGCAAAACAGCGTCGGCCTCACGGCGCTGATGGCCGCCGCCGGGATGGGGAAGGTGCAGGTGGTCGAGACGCTGCTGCAGCACGGCGCGGAGATCAACCTGCAGAGCAGTGAAGGTTGCACTGCGCTAACGTTGGCCGCCAACCGAGGCTACGAGCGCGTGGTCGACTTGCTTCTGCGGCACGGCGCAGAGGTTGACTTGCAGAAACAACGGCGGCTACATTGCGCTCGCGGGCGCAGCCTTCCACGGACATTCTGCCGTCGTGCTCCAGTTGCTGCGGGCGGGCGCAGACATGAAGCTGCGCACTGCGGCGGGCAAGACGGCGCTGCAGATCGCCAAAGAGACGGGCCACACCGAGTGCGTCGCCGCCGTCAAGACGTATCTCGGCGAGGTGGCGGCGGAGAGGCGCGACGCGGCGGCGGTCGAGGCGGGCGGCGCGGGGGCAGGCAGCGCTTCGGGCGGCAGCAGCGGGCCTGTTCCCGAGGAGGTCGGCGAGGCGGGCGGCGCAGGGGCGGACGGCGATGCCGCCTCGGGCAAGGGGGCAGCGGCGGCACCAACTGCCGCGTCCTCTTCTGGCGGCGTGGAGAGCGGAACGGGCGAGGACGCCGTCCCCGAGGAGGTCGTGGCGGCGGCTAAGCAAGGCGAAGAGGCGGCGGTGCTGGTGTGGCTCGACGGCGGCGGGCGGGTGGACGCGACTTTCACTGTTGAGGGTGTGAGCGGCATTACGCTGCTGATAGCCGCCGCCATCTTCGGCCACGAGTGGCTGGCCGCGATGCTGCTGCGGCACGGCGCAGAGATCAACCTGCAGGACAGCGAAGGCTTCACCGCGCTGATGTGGGCCGCCCGACAAGGCCACGAGCGGGTCTCCGAGCTGCTGCTGCAGCACGGCGCGGAGATCAACCTGCAGGACAATGCCGGCTGCACTGCGCTGATGTTCGCCGCTCTCAGGGACCACTCCGCCGTCCTGCTCTGCCTGCTGCGGGCGGGCGCCGACACGGAACTGCGCTCGGCGGGTGGACGCACAGCGCTGCAGATTGCCAAGGAGAAGGGCCACGCCGAGTGCGTGCGCGCCCTCGAGGAGCATGCGGCGGCCAAGGCGGCGGCCGAGGCGGTGGCCGAGAAGGCGGCGAAGGAGGCGGCGTGGGCTGCGGGGGCGGCGGAGAGGGCGGCGGAGCGGGCGGCGGCGGAGGCGGAGGCGGCGCGGCACGCCGAGGAGCTGCTGGCGGAGGTCGAGGCGGAGAAGCGCGGCAAGGGCAAGAAGGGGAAGAAGAAGAAGAAGGGCGGCGGGAGCGGCGGCGCTGGGCCGTCGCAGGATGCCGAGGCGCCGTCAGAGGCGGCTGCAGCCAAGCCCGCGAAGCTGGACAGGGAGGGGTTGATCAGGCTTCTCGAGACGCTCCACGAGGAGCGGATTCGGTACGGCATCACGGCGGAGACGTCGGTCGCGGGGTTGGCGGAGGCGTTGGGAGAGGAGGCCGAGGCGGCGAGTGAGGGAAGCGAGGAGGAGACGGCGGAGGCGGGTGAGGAGGCAGCTTGGGTGGCAGCGGAGGCGCGCCGGGAGGCGGAAGCCGAGGCGGACGCTCTGGCAGCGGCAGAGGAGGAGGCGGCCGCCGCGGCAGCGGCTGCTGCGGCGGCGGCTGCGGCGGTGGCTGCGGCGGCGGCTGCGGCGGCAGAGGTGGCGGAGGCAGCAGAGGCGGCACTGGCTGCCGTCAAGGCGAGGCGCGCGTCAGCGGCCGCCGCGAGGGCCAAGGCGGATGCCGACTAGCCGCGTGCAAGGAGAGCAACCAAGTACAGTACTGCTTCTGGCGCCGGCGCACGGATCGTGGTTGAAGAGGCATGTGCTGGGAAGAAGGTGGGTGCAGGGAGGGGGAGGGGTGTGAGCTCGCTGTCCCGTGGTCTTGTCTGTTCAGGGGGCTCCGCGATCTCCACCGCTGAAAAGGGGGAGAGGAAGGTGAGAGGACTTTTGTGGGAGAGGGGTGGAGCTCGCTGTCCCGTGGTGGTCAATTGTAAAGTGTTGTTCTGGCTTCTGGTTCTGCTTCACAGGGGGTCTCCGCGACGCGCGAGGCCGAGGGGGGACGAGCTCGCCTCCACGACACTTTCCTACACTTTTTACACCACCCACGCACCCACCCCCGTGTGTGATTTAATATGGTTCACTTCTGTACAGGACACACACACGTACTAGCTAGCACGTACTAACAGCTAAGCTACGACGTCATATGCATATGTACATTGGCATAGACAGAGACAAGAGACAGGGGCACAGTACCAGTCAGAGACAGAGACAGGGACAGGCCAGCGCCGACCAGCCGGTAGAGAGAGAGGCGGCTCGCCTCCGCTCTTCGCGAGCGACGATCGACGCGCCGGTGTAGAGAGCGCGCCCACACTCGTCACCGGGGCGGTGGGCCTCCATGTGGGCGCACGCGCACCATCGAGCTACGCCTCGCGCTCCGCCTTGTCCATCCGCGCGCGCGCCAAGCGCGCCTCGTACACCTCGCTCACCTTGGACAGGGGAGAAGGGGGGGGGGGGGGAGGGGGGTCATCCTCCGCTTGACGGGGGAGGGGGGAGGGGGGGGGAGGGAGAGGTGCGTCACATCCCTCCGCTGGATCTCGGCTGCATCTCGGGCACGGCACGAGGCTCGCCTTGGCGTCCTCCGAGACCTGCTCCGGCCGCGCCGCGGTCTCGCAGCAGGCCGAGTCCGCGCAGCAGTCGCCCGAGGGCCCGTGCACGAGCGCCACCTCGGCGTCGGTGTCGCCCGACTCGCGCTTCGCCTCCCCGTCCAGCAGGCCGTCCTTGTCGCTGTCCGGCACCGGGATGCGGAAGGTGTCTCCCGCGCGCATCCCCGGCGGGATCTGCACCGGGATGGTGCCGCCCGACGGCGTCCGCACCTGCAGCGGCACGCCCCGCCAGTCGTCCGGCATCGTGTCCGGCACCTTGACGGTCATGAGCAGCGGCGGTTCCTTGGCCTCCACGGCCTCGACCGCGTCTTCCTGCAGCGGCGCGAAGCCGACGGAAGGGATGCTCTTCGCGAGCCGGCTCATCTGCTCCGGGGCTAGAAAGGTGGGACGGGACAGGTGCTAGGAGG